GTTCTTGCGTTGTAGCGCTTTATGGTGTGATGTGAACAACATATGCAACTTCCATTAGCGTAAGCCTCCATGGTCAAGCAACACTACAGGTGGCGCAAGGTTATCCAAAATGGCAGGTTAAAAAGTATTCATGTCGCAGCATGTCTGGCTTTTACCGAGCCGTGTTTAATATTATTTTTTCAGAGTTTGTTCAATTCTGCTGCAAAATGCTGTGCTTTCAATAAATCTGCTACAGTCGAACCCAGCTACAACGAAACTGAAGGGGCGCAGAAAAAAATTCATTGAAGCTAAAATTTCATTGTAGTGAAATCGAAAAAATATAACCGATCAGAACTAGCAAAACAAAGGAATGTTTATTCTAAAAATTCAAAAAGTGTCCGCTGCTTTTTATTCTATCCCAGCAGCGTCACGGCGCGATTATCACCCATGTGTAGCGAGGCCATAGTGAAAAGCATGACGAAACAATGACAACCGCTTTCGTGAACGAACCAAACAGTTGCATTAACACGTTAACACCATCAGCTGTCCGCCGTCAAAACGCCGAGATGGCAGCAGGATGACTTTTGCCTTATTTTATGCTATTCTTATCATCCATCACTCACGGCTGGGTGATTTTGTTAATACGGACGAACAGCTGCTCTGATTATTACCAGACTGGCTAAGCGCGAACAAAATGAGCATTGGAATCAGAAAAGGCATCGTTCCACAGATGCACCCAGCAGCTGCGCAAAGGAAACCAGACACCACCAGAAACCACCGCGCCGCCATTGCTCAATAGCGATGGCGGCGCCCATGCTTGCTGAACAGTGGTTTTCCGTGGTGCCAATGCGTGTTTTAGACTTCGTTGACGCATTTTCAGGTTCCGAAAATGCATCAAAATGTTAAAGATTGGGTTTACTGTATAGCAATAAATATCTGAGCCTGGCATCGCATCGTGAAATTTCGTTGGAAGCGGCACGGCAGAAGAAAAAGTGTTCGTTGTGGCGACAATATTTATGCATTGCCTCCTATGGACTGCTGACGGAGAACCATGAATTTTTCGTTGTAGCGGGAATTTCGTTAAAGCGGCGTTCATTGTAGTGTGGTTCGACTGTATTGGTATGAAACATTATGGGACACTCTGAAACTTGTTGAAAGAAAGGATCTGATGTCTTAATCAAAGGAGATGTTTGAATGCTGTAGCCATTGGCGGGTTAGCAGTTGTGGGGTTTTGAAATGGAGAGTGCCACGTTCTTGGAGTGAACGGACGCTGTGGATGTGGTCGGACCAAACCAAACAACACACATTTATTTAACTACTTTTGATCCACACGCTGAGCAATCTTACACAATATTACACAACACTCGACAACATAACCAACAAGGCGGCAAGTGACCCGCAGCGCTGCTTACCAAGGACCGCTGCAAGAGCCAACCGTTCGCTCCAACTGCCACTTGCCAAAGAGACCCGCTCATCTGCCCCATGCCGCCACCAAAGCTTGCTTCCAGGCGTCGCTGCCGGTGTCACGGTTTCTAACTATGATGATGATGGTGCTGATAAATGCTCGCGAGAAAAACGCCACCTACCGCTTCATAGTCATGACCTCTGAATGCGGCCTATGCGCAAGACACGTGCACCACGAGGTGGAAACAGCTTTTACAGGGGGTGTTAGCACCCCCACATAGTTTGCGGTTCAAGGACCGTGTACTCCTGATAGTACAGGCACAACCATAAATATCCCAACAGGCAGCCCTAACCCAACCATACAAACCAAACAGCTTAGAGATAGCACTTGATAAAATTTTCTGCTCTTGAAAAGCCCCATTAGTTTGTCAGTGTCAGTGTTCATGTCACCATCCCCTCTCCACTCTGCTTTAAAGAGTTTTTTTTTCATTGATCCACACTAAAGCATCTAAAGGTGAATTTGCAAGGTGAATACTCGGCATGATGCGTGCAAAGCTTTGTGATCACGTGACTAAATCAGCTACACTGCTATGTACCTGCACAACTCGGTCTCCACAAACATGAAATAAAAATTGTTCATATCCAAATGGCGACAAATTATATAGAAAATATAAATGAATCTTGGTGTGTGTATCGTGCTTATGAGCTATAAATAAAGCGTGCAGCAAAGAGCACGCAAGCCACAAGTATTGTGGCACGATCCCTTTAAGGCATGCCTACACATGTGCGTTGAAGCCCATCAGCGCGTAACTTCCCTACATGACATTGTGCCTTTTTCCTATTGAGAGGGTGCGAGAAGTTATAAAGGCTATGCTCTTTTATAAATTTGGTATTCATACTTTGTAAGTGCAATAAAATTGGTCATTTTTGAAAATTTTAGAGTGAAAAATTTTAACTTCTCATGCTGCTCCTCGAAAACTCGCAACAGGTCCTGGAAAGTCCTTGAATATTCTTGAATTTTAGCTTTGGAAACCTGTACGAACCCTGACACGTGATACTGGTTTTTAAGAGCATTGGCACCATGTCAAAAAAGCCAACTGTACATAAGACTGAGTCTATCACTAACTCTCTCAAAGCCATTAATCTGAGTGAGCACAGGTGAGCAATATTTTGGCAGGTCCGAGTATAAGACGGTCTGGTTGCGAGCCCGGTTGAGTAAAATTTTGGTGAATCGGAGACTGAGCGAGTCCGAAGAGCGATGTATCTTTTGTAAGTAAATCTGAGTGAGCACAATTTTTGCCAACTAACGGATAACCAGTATGTCTTTATTTTCCTCGCGAGTATGAACTGTAGGGGACAGCATTAACACAAAAGATATTTAACCCTTTCCTGCCTAATGTCGCAAATTTGTGACATACTGGAAAATTGCGAGCAAGCAAGTCACTGAATGCGTGTCACTGTTAATGCTGTTTGTCAAGTACTCATGGGGAATGTAGCTTTCAGCATGAAAAATGGGGCCTGACGTTGTGTAATGTACATTATACAACCAATTGTTATGTAGATAATGGTGGAGATAGCGCTCATTTCTCCGTTCTTTCTTGCCTGGCTGACAAAAGTTTTATTTTGAATAATTTTGCTTATCCTAGTGTGTGCACGCTTAAAGGGGCCCTGAAACACTTCTTCAAGTAACCATGGAATGAATCACTGGATGAGCTTATTGCCTCACGAAATAAAGGGCACAAAAATCTTTTAAAATTCGTCCAGTGCAAGATTCTTTGCATGCTGCAATTGCATTCTCTTTTCTCTCGTCCTGACAAAAGTGCTGTAAGCTAAGCAGGGAGGGATGACAGGTGCAAATCTAAATGTCACGTGCACCTCGGGACCTTGAGCACTTTTCTTTTTTTTTTCTTCGAATGCGTGGCTTTTTCAGTGTGAATGCATGCGTGTACTAGTCGCAGCCTCTCGCGGTAATCTCTGTAATGACCGAGCGCGCCATGTTCAAATCAGCCAATGGCTGATAGAAAGGCGATTTTTGGGCTTATTCCGCAATTTGTCGAAAGAAGAGACAGCAATTTTTAGCTGAATTTGATAATTTATTATGAATTTAAGGCTGTGTGCAGCACTATAATTTGCTCGCATGTTGTCCGGAGCCTCTACTATCGATCGGCAGCATTTTCTGACCATGTTTAAGAAGTGTTGCAGGGCTCCTTTAATGTGTGTCATGCATGGTGCGTAGCTTTAAAGTAACGTTTTTTATTGCAAGGTCCCTGCCTCTGTGGCAAGTGGACAATTTGCGACATACATAAAAGTATATATGGAAGGTGCATTTTGGATAATTTAACTGTGGAATCGTTTAAAAATTGTTATTTAAAGTTGAAAATGAAAACAATTTAAATTTTCTCCGGCAGTTTCATAATTCAGGCTTAAAGGGTTATGTGATAACGAAGCAACTGTGATCTCAGTGGCTATTTGCTGTTGAAACTGCAGTGACCATAGAGATTATAGTCTCTATAAAGGCCGCCATCTTCATGTTCCCCATCTTGTTTTAATGCTTTATTCTTAAAGCTAGGGTTGTCTGGTCGAAAAGAAAAAAAAATAGCCAGAAAATGAGAAAAGTTAAAATGTAGCGGAAAGTAGCCATGCATGCATGCTGTGCCGCGTGAGCAATTCAAAATTGTAATTTTTGAGATTCCAGCAGTAATTGTAGGCTTTGTGAAGAATTTCGTGCATGATGTAGTATATGTACTTCGCCACGGTGGTAGTATATGTACTTCGCCACGGTGGTAGTATATGCACTTGATCACGGTGGTCTAGCGACTATGGTACTTGGCTGCTTGCTGACCCGCTGGTCAGCAAGCATAAAAAATGCGGCCTCAGTGGGCGCTTTTTTAATGAAGGTGAAAAAGCTTGAGGCCTCTGTGCTTTGATTCAGGTGCATGTTAAAGAACTCCAGGTGGTCGAAATTTTCATGCAATGAATGGTGTTGACAGTAAGAAGGGCTCGTGGTTTACCTGGGGAACAGCATTGATTTCTTTATTACAGACGTGCATATTGTAAATAAAATACCGGTTAAGATGACTTGACGAGCAATCATTGAAAGATGTCTGACATTGTTGACGAGCAATCATTGAAAGATGTCTGACATTGTGTGATCCTAAAAAAAAAGGATTTACAAGGGTGCTTTTGTGCCATCTGCCATCCACCTCCTCCACGAATCTCCCAAATATGGAGGTAACCAGGTTATTACGTAATTATGGCTTTTTTTTTCACTATTCAATGTAGGCAATAATTTGATAAATTGAAGTTGGATATATTAGACTAACTGTACGTAGGGAAGTGCAACCGATTGCGATGACTGCATATTGAAATGCAGTAGAAATAAATACTAGACAGTTTTTTCTTGTATGCTAATTTTTTTCTTTTTTATTCATCTTCAATCATGCTACTGGTGATCTGATCTACATAATGGTTAACATTCTCTAATAACTTACTGAGTGAGAGCCGTTCATAACATTTAGAACATTTTGCCGTGGGTTGGTGTATGATACTATTAATTTCTTACGTTTAGGGCTCAAGTAAATGCTGACTCTGTGTGTCTCAACGCTTAATTGTTGCAGCAACCACAGCAGCCACAGCCGCAGCTGCAGCCACCGCAACAGCAGCAGCCGCCGCCGCAGCAGCAACAGGCGCCAGTGGCCACAAGCACCAGTGCTCCAGGGGGTCCGGGAAGCGGGGTAACAGTTGGGGGAGGCGTTGGCAGCAGCGCTGGCGTCAAGACTTGGAGCAGCGTGACATCCAGCCAAGAGGGTGGTGGTCCAGAACGCAACTTCTTGGGCCATCAGTCGCCATTTTTTCCTCAGGAATTCCCCAAGCTAGCTGGTGGCGATGTGCCCATCGACGGGACCCAGAGGTCGGCGACAGACTCTCAGTATGGACCTGGCCCCAGCCTGAGACCACAGAGTAAGTGTCAGTTTTCCCAAGCTTGGATACTTAGAGTTGCCTGCTAGTTTATGCGAACAAAGTGCACGTTTCAGTGGAAGGAACCTGGAGCCGGGGCACGCTTCAGCAGCAGCCGCCGCCCCAGCAGCAGCAGCAACAGCAGCAGCAGCAGGTTCCGGGGGGCGGCAGTGGAGGGGGTGGTGGCGGGCAGGGCTGTGGCCCACCCGGCGGCCTGCCTCCGAGCAGTGGCAGTGGCGTGAACGGTCAAGCATCGTTCGCATCTCCGCCAAGGGGAGCCCTCCCCTCAGGTGTGCCGCCCGGTGGTGGACCTCCTTCATCACCAGCACAGCCCTCCTATAGGCAACAGGCGGTGCCACCTTTTGTACAGGTGCGTTGGCTAGTCTCTCCTCTGCAGGTAACACTGTGCAAGTCTCTGCCTTTTACTTCACGACCCTGACACTAAGTGAAGGAAGCTGCATCAGGGCCGGCAGCGCCGTAGCTTTCCGCATTCTCAGTGTTCCTTGTCTTTTCTTGGTTTTCTCCGCAACGTCGCTATTGTGTCGCTTGCTCTTCGTTTCTGAAGACTCGCGCTTGTGCGAAATGACACAGATCGAGTACCCTGTGTGACATTTCAGCATGAGTGCTTCGGTGACAAAGAAATGCAAGATATTGACTCTAGAAGACGAAAATGGGCATCTTGGACCCCGTTTCTAGCGGCCAAAAAAAGGATGTAGCTGCTAAATTTGGCATCCCAGCTAGTTTTCTGTCCACAATTTTAAACGTGAAAGATGCGATTTGCAGGGCTGTGGAGCGTTGCACGGACGGCAAGAAAAAGTTGAAATCAACATACGCCGACGTCGACAAAGCTGTGTTTACATAGTTTTCGGGCACGTGGGCGCGCAATGTACCCATCAGCGGCGCTGTTCTGCAGCAAAAAGCAAGGGATTTTGATTGTATCCTGGGCTGGGGGGCGATGGTTTGAAAGGCAGTAACGGGTGGCTCGAAGGTTTCAACCGAAGGCACGGAATCGTCGGCAAAGTGATTAGTGGCGAGTCCTCCTCCACAGCTACAGATGGCGCAGATTCGTGGATTCAACATGATCTGCCAGGTATTTTGGAGTGCTACGAAGCATCAAATGTGTACAAGGCTGATAAAACGCTTTTCTACGAATCGCTTCTGAACTGTACTCTGACGCTTAAGGGGGGACAACCCACTTAAAAAAAACTTTATTTATGGGTACATTCTGATAAAATTTGCATGCTCTATGTATTTTGACATGCTGATTTCAAATACGCAATCACTTTTTCTCTGCAACAAGTACTTTTCAGAATATTCGAGAAATTCATATTTTTTTAATTGGCTTAATGGGAAGTAAATTTTCTTTTTAATTGTCATCAAAGACACTGGCATATGAAAATGATCCTGTGTTGTCAGAGCTTGAAGTGGTATAAGAATGAATGACATGCTGTAACTTTGGCTCAAATCACTCTAGGACAAACATTTGCAAGCAAAAGGCTTCAGTAAAACCTTGGAGCAATTATTACTTTTGGAAAACATGTCTCATGTTATTTGTTCAAATTTTAGGCCTACTGCAGTCCCCATTTGTCCCATTTTCTAAAAAAAAAAAAAACAAGAATTAATGCGATAGGATAAGTATGACCAGAGATATCGTCACTCCAAAACTTCATGATGATCAAAAATGCAGTTTTCAGAAAACTGCAAAAAACATTTCCTGATAAATTAGTAATGAATATGGAAATTACTTCAACATTACAATGATAAAGGATGGTACATGGGTTCAATCAGGCAAGAATGAATATTTTACAATAATTTTGAATTAGGGCATCTCAAAATTTACTTCTGAAACCCAATAATATCTTCTAAAATGATTATTTTTATAAGTGTTGTTCAGTGATATGTATCTGTATACTAGTCCTACTGCACCACTTTTCTGTCAAAAAAAGAATTATTGAGACTGGTTGAGTAGAACCAGAGATATTGGGGTTCCAATATGACACCATCAGAAATGCCACTTAGGGGAAATGGGTAAAAAAAAAATTTATTTACACACTCTCCCTCCTAAGAAAAAGTATCTCAAAATGATCCAGGGGAGTAATCGGGCCTTTTATTCACTGCCTTAGCAAGGCCAAGTGATGCTGCCCTTTTTTTAGCAGAACTTGTGCTACGCCGCAGGTCCTTTTCTCTGGCCCTGTTGGACCCAGTAGGTGTTATGTCCACATTCAATTCTGCTAGCACGGCCGTAGTAGCGTGCTCATTACCAGCATTAAAACGCAGCACAGCCTCCTCTACAGCTGCCTGTACTGCAATCAATGACCAGTGCTGCTCTTTTGCTAGTAGGCTCCAGATTACCGAGTGGAAAGACTCATTTGAGTTCTGGGTCTTTCCCCTGAGGCATCTTTGCAGCAGTCTCCTCTCCGACAATCACTGGTAAACCGGCAAGAGAGCTGCAGCCACATCACTAGGCAAATTATATTTGTGCTTGGGCTCTGGCCCTTTAGCTTTTGCTGCGTTGTGGTGGCACCAAGATTGCTCACCAGTTCGGGCAACTGTCGGTAGAGGTGACGTGATGAAACGTTGCCATCACTGCCCGGCTCATGGCTTCAACATCACCTACGTGCGATTTTAGTGCTCGCCCATAGTAGACAGCCAACCTGTCGAACAGTTCGGCAGTCAATCTCCACTTGACACCAAGGCTTCGTTTGCCTTCCCCCTTGTGTTGTTGCACTAGGTTGCTTAGTGCAGTACCCATACGTTTCTTGACGTGGTTTACGCAATCCTCCTTCTCCACTTTAAAGTAACCATAAATTTTCGCTTCTTTCATGGCGTTGTATGTGCGGCTGTCACCATCGCACAACACCGTAGTGTAACGAAAGTCATGCCGCTGAAGTGATCGTTTAAACAAAATTTTGCCGGCTTCTACCTCCATTTGGCCAGACTTGCAGTTTGAATTTTTCTGGCACTGGTGGCTTGACTTCCAGATATCATAGCCCTCACTGCCTGGCTTAGGGCCGTTCTCACAACCCAAACAAAAGTTGAACATCACATGGTAGTCAATCACGTATCCAGTAAACAGTTCAACAACCGTTCAAACACCAATGTGAGAGGAATGCCCCCTTGTCAACCAAGTGCCGTCATAGCACATGGCAATGTTCTTTTTGTGCCCAAAACACATGTCGTATAACTCCTTTACTTTACACGTGCACCGAGTCATAACGGGCGCGGCAGCTCGGGTGACAGCCGGTTCTAAGATTTGTTTCAAGTGCAGTTGAAACGTCTTATTGTGCAGCTCCCGCCGCGACAGTCCCATAGCCACGAAAATATCGTTCATGGCTGTCTGATCGTTCCCACTGCTGAGCATCGCACGCGTGGATAAAATGTTTACCGCGAATGCATTGCAGGACTTGCCACCATTGACTCGGCGAGTTCCATGCTGTCGGGACTTCGCCACAACAGTCGCACTTCACGATCATTTTTTTAGCGAGGCCGCAATCGCGGTCACTCGGGACTAATTTTGCCCACCCGCCACATACCTGGCAGCGTAGGGAAGCAGCAAGCAGCTCATTCAGGACCTCCATGTCAATCATCGCACACGGAGCTGCAGGGTCCGCGGCGGAGGCCGATGAAGCGTCGCTTGCACAGGTGAAAACTGCAGTCTTTTGTGTTGTTGCCGGTGTCGACTCAAGTCTATGAAGACTGTCCTGCTCACGAGCACTTACTTGTGCTATTTCGCTGCTCGTGACAGATCTAGCGTCAACTCGCACACGGCTTGAGTCAGTGCAAAGAATGCAGTCGTTCTTGGGCGGATCGCCGTCAGCTGCATCGCTGCGGGTTGCTTGCTGATCGCTTGTAGAGCCGCGCGATGGCATGCCCGCATCTTGCGAACTGCTATCGCCTTCGCTGACGATGTCGGATGCCCAGACACCGCGAGTCACCTGCTCGGCGGTTGTAGTGCCTTTGTGGAGCGGACCGGTGTCACCTGCATCGCCGTTATCGGGCGCCGAGGCACTGATGGCTGCTTGCTGATCGTTCGCGGCAACCCGTGATGTTGTGCCGTAAGCACGTTTTTTTTTTCCCATTTTGGCTCGCTTTCGGCTGAACTGATACACCGAATGATGCTTTTTCGGTCCTCCAGGCATGTTCGTCGTATCACCGTAACCCAAGTCAAAATTGCGCCTCGAATAGCCAAGTTTTCAAATCCAACGCCCTCAGCTAATCAGACTGTGCCATTATAACCTTGTGATCTCAAGTGGCCAATGACGTTTTTCGTGGATTTTTTTCTTTCTTTTTTATTTCAAGAGGTGGCAAGCTTAGTGTTGCCCGACCGAGCGAGAAGAACAGCCAAATGTGAGAGCTTTTCAGCGATACCAAAATGGCCACGTTCGAGCGGGCCGTTCAAGAGTTACAGGCAGCCGAAATAAGTGCGATTTGTCCTCAATTTAAAGGGCTGGGGGTGTGCCATCGCATCCGTAACTTATTGTTACGCCGTTAATATGCGGTATTTTGAAACTAAAATTTACAGACAGGTACGTGATGGTAGAAAGAATACAAAAATTACACTTTTAAGGGGGGAGGCTACCATTGGATACCAACTTTGTTTATTGAGATATCTTAATGAAATTTTCAGGATAGACTTATAGCAAAAGCATTAGAAGAACTACAAAATTTCATCAAGTTATGTTCACTGGTTTTCAAGTTACAGCAGAATATCAGGGTAGTGCACATGGTTCTCTAATTCCAGGCCTGGAGAACTTTCAAAAGGTGCTGGAACTGTGAAATTAACTATGATGATTCCAAGATTGATACTCCAGGGGGTAACAGATCTCTTTTTTTGAATTTCCTTGCTGAAAAGTTTTAGCAGACCATCAAACTTTGTGTTCGTGATTAGGATATTATCAATTAAATTTTGATTAAATATAATAAATAACACACAATATATTGAAAAAATGGGCTTGTCACCCCCTCAGAAATTTATTCATGTACATAATAAAAAAAGACTTATGGAAATCCAATGAGTGGTTCCAGAGATATGGCTGGAATAAGCAGCCTCACTAGCCAAAAAAGTCATTTTGAGAAAACGACGTTTGAAAGTTTTGAGCACATAGGCAGTTCTAAAATGAACCTGCAGCGTAACTGGAGGTGTCCTTTGGCACTCTCTTTCTTTGCCGCCTTTCCATCTTCTCTAGGGATCGCTTCTTAGCCTTTTTCAAGCGCAGAGAATCTTTCTTGGCTGCCCGTTGAATGGCCAGGTGGCCAGGTGTTAGCCCCACTGATGAAGCTAGCTCTTGGGTGGCCCTGTAGCAGCGAGCATTGTATCTTAGTACTGCATCATGCAGTGCTGTCTCCACAGCAATCAGTGACGCATGCTGC